TTGTTAGGCAGAGCAGAGAGGACCAGCGTAAGCCGATTACTTTGCCAAACCGCCGCTTGAGCAGGTGTTGCGGCACAGGCGTAGCGTTTGCCCCATTCAACATGGGGCAACCTACCTATTTCCTACCTATAGCTCGACATATTTCGTATGTAGATGGCGCGTTTATCAGTTTTCATCTGTAATAAATAAATAGTGAAATATTTCAACTAAACATATGCGAACCAATTCCCACTCGTCGGCTGCTTGAATCTTTAAAATAAATCTTCCCTGTGTTTTATTATGGGATATGCGCTTTGCATAGCATCGACTAAGTAAACCCCTCTGGGGGTTTCATAATTTACCCGAAACGGCCTGCTAAGCGGCATATTGTTCCTGTACACCTGCGATTTGCTCTAATTTCTAGTAAGATGGCGGGCAGAGTAGCGCACATATTCGAAATCCAAGAGATTTGTTGGTCCGAAGGATCGAGTCCCGAAAAATGTGTAGAAAATTTTCCATCACTTTTTGCACATTACACCATTTTCCATCAGAGATTGCTAGGGAATCTGCTTTCCTTACTCTCTCCTCTCTCTCTCCCTCTCTCTCTCTCTCTCGCCCTCTCATTGATTCATACACATACAGAAGTACGAAATGGCGGTACTGATAACCTTCACTCCGGTAAAGTAGCTAACAGCAGAGTTGCGTGATAATTTAATGAAAATGTATCTGTCTACGAAGTTAGCGGCATAATAACGAGGTGTGTATTAAGTACCGGGAGTCGAAACAATCCCTACGCTAGGAGGCTACAAGCGTTTGGATGAAAAAGGGACGGACGTAAAAGTAGGAACATTTAATGTTTAGCTGCTCAACTCGTAACTACCACCTTGGAATATATTTTGTTGATGACGCCTACGATTTCCAGATACGCTTATAGTTTCCATAGCTTTAATAGTAGTTTCCGCTTATAGTCCAGGTACGCTAACCTTGGTAGCTTCCCTCGACACACGTAACCAGAACTGTTTAGCAAAGTGGACCCCAAGGGTTGACCTGCATCTTTGTTTTACACATTAGCCACTTCCCTAGAGGATCCTTAGCACAGATTAGATTGATAGCAGTTCATTTAATTTTAAATTCTATAGGCAAATACGATGCTGTATTGTTCAATGAAGAACCAATACATAAATGAGGATGTCACTTTTCGACCTTTTTATATATAATATTGGAGATTGTTCAAGACTATCTCGGTGGCATTTTAATTGGTCCCTCGAACATATCAAAAGATAGACTCGACTTGACCTTTTTCTTAAAAACTTTTCGATTAAATGTTCAGTCATGTTCCTGACGAGCTATTCGGGATACATAGGAGACGTGGACGTCATGGTTAAAGACCGCGTCGTACACCGAAACAGAACGAGACAGAGAGAACGCGTAAACTCAGCGTAGACCGAACTCCCATTACGACAGTGTGGTTTTGCTCAGGGAAGCAGATTAAATATATAGATACAAAAAAAAAACTCCTTAGTCCATTACACTTCAGCATACTGTGTCCACTTTATCGCAGCAAGTTTTTAAGTTTACAACAAAAAAATTGGCCACGACTCTATGCTCTATTTCGCAATAACTTAATTCAAGTCAACTTCTTCCAATAGCTGTGAACCACTACCAGGCCAAAATAAAAAGCTAATTTTGTTATCGGCCTCCTCTACATATAATTGTGCTCTATTTGCTTAAAACACTTTAGCATTAGCTTAGTGTACTGTAGTAACTAAAATATAGAAGGTATGCTCTTCGTTACTCTGTGCACTCGGGGCAAATAGCGGATCTGTAGGCATCGTAGTGGCTAGCCGTCTCGGAGATCTTTGTCTAGACTCATGTCTCTAAGATGTCTTTTTTTGAAGTCCCTCTCGTTGGGAAAACGATTTGCCGATAGAGAGTAAATAAAGTTTCATACTATATTTTTTCAAGCTTGTTCCATTGAAGCCATCTTTAATCCTTTTTTCCTAAAAAAATATCTGTTGTTACAGTTAACCTCCCTGGCACCTCTAGGCGTTTGAACCTCGTTATCAGATTCTGAGACTCACGGCGTCTGTGCTTCGTTTTGCAGCCATAGATTCCTGTTTGAGCTGATCGAAGTGGCGCCAACAGCGGTGCGCTGCCGCTTATATATCTAATAACACCGAAAAGAACGAGAGGTTAGGGATACAGGTGATCCGCTTCTTAACTTCGGTAACTTAGCGTCTTGCCCTTAGTTAGCCTATCAGGCTGAGGACAATAGCGTATTGATTCAAGATAGGCGACTCACAGCTGACGATTTTACTGGCCAGTTCGAATGAAAGCTTTTAAGTGATAATCAAAGCAGTGAAGCAAAATACATCTCACCTAGCCTAAAACTGCGTTTTTTCTTTACTAGATTGGAGCGCCTAGGTAAAACTTAGCACGCAACCATAGCTCCATATAACATTGTGAAAAAGTTCAAAGTTGATTACTCTAACGATTTGCGCTGAAGAAACGAGAGCATTCTGCGGTATATAACAACGTTTTATTAACCTTAATTCTAAGCTCGGAAAGTTAACCAAACGCATGAACATTAAGCCTCACGATAATAAACATCAGGGCTGTTTGTACAAACCGACTTATTTGTTCAGAGCGAGAAGATCAAATCTAAAAAGGTGCAAATTCGCAGGGTATCGGGAGTGACTCTGCGCAAAACCAACAAGAAGGGCTAAATGTTCTTAGTATTGAAACGTAGGTTTGCTTGTTAACGGTTGACCAGACGGACGAGTTGGAGACGCTGGAGGACGAACGCAGTGGCGATTTTGCCGCATCCGAGTTAGTGTTTATTTATCTGTTAGGGCCGCTGAGCACTTCCCTCGTTCAACTTCAGCTCATAATGAGCCAATAGTTGTTTAGATCTGTTTGCGCTGAGTCCCTTGTCGTCTTCACATTTACAGCTATTCGCTAGCCGTCACAAGGACTCCGTAAGCCGTCACAGCGCCAGTTAACTCGGTGACGGCACGTCGAATGTTTCAGGCAGGCCGACGTCGGCAACAATCAAATTTCTTTGAAATGTCTTTCAAAACAATTGTTCGGTGCCAATGCTATCTTTAGGCTCTAGTTTTCTTTATCTGTTTGGCCGCCCGGCAAAGACTCGTTGTGCACCGATCAGGGATATTCCTCGGATGTTTTGAACTTGGTGGCATAGCAGTCAGCGTTGCATGACGAAGCACGAGTCTCGTCCGTCAAAATCTGTGTTGATTGACGATCGCTTCCCGTGCCGATGCTCTTGAGAGCTTGAAAGGCCCACGACCGCAAAAACAGTAGCAGCAGTTATGGCGGCGTGAAAACAGCGGCGGAATTTCCTGCACCTTTTTTTCTTCGTTTACTGGATCTCGTTCTCAGTGCTTGATTCAACCGAAGGCGCCAGCCGCAAAAATTAATGTCTACTTCTTTCTACCAGCACTAATGTTCTCGTTGTACGCTGTTGTTAGCCTTAGTCCAATCAAGGGCGTGTGTATGTTCGGTGAAGTATTTGACACTTTGTGGCTGTTTTATCTCGACAACGCGAGTAGTTAAGGTAAAGTGTTTCGACTACCTCCGGGTAGCCGACGACGTGCGCTCCTTGTAGCTCTTAAATGGCACACATATATTTTCGCTGTCCACTGAAGGCTTATAAATTTTATATTATATAATATTTTGCTATTATCCCGCTATCACATTATGTAGTAGGTAGGTAGTTCAAATATCCCCTACAATATGAGGTTATTCACAGGTGGATTTAAAATGTATCGACAGTTCAGTAGCTCGATTGTCTAATGTGATATAATGATTGGACTGGCGAACTTGCAAAGAGGCCGATACCGGCCAATGAGTCACCAGGCCGCTGGAGAGGAACAGAGACGTATCGAAAGAAAAGGCAATTGCTTGGGTTTCCGAAGAAATCCGCATGAGTTTACCATGTGGTGGACTGACGCTAACCTGAGGTGGTGGATCGGACCCGATATTTATCAACAAATTCACCTGATAATTATTAGAAATTTGTAAATTTTTTCATGAGCATTTGTTATTCGATATAATTCGCGTTATCAGAACAACGCCGCTATTCAGCCGCGCGAATCCATGGTAAAATGTTTTGCTATTCGCGTGATAGTCAATCCTGGACTCGGGATGCGTGACAGACTGCTAGAAACCTCCACCTAGAAATCTTCGTCATTCCTTACCGAATAAGAGACGCTCGGCTGATAATTTGAAGTGCGAGATTGTGGGGCTGATCTACCTGTCTGCTTCGTCGCGTTCCGTAAGACATTAGAGCATGTCAATGGTCCAATACCCGAAAAGCAACGCAGTGTGTACGTTCGCTCTGTGCTTTGTTTGAGCCTAAGTAAATACTTGTACTCTAAGTATAGTTAGCAATGTTGTCGTCGAAAGTGCTCGCTCTGTTCAAAGCGGCTCTCGCAAACGACAAAAAATTATTGAACGAGCTCGCTGATTCTAACGTCCTAGAATAAAGGACTTTCCCTGTTGAGAAGCGTAAAGTTCGCTCTGAAGTGCGCCAACGCACGAAACACTAAATGAAATTACTAACATTACTTCAATTAAATTTAGTTTAATTTGTGACTTGAGGTCCAGTTAAAAAAAACACTCAGATAAGTTTACTTCGAACACTCTTCGACGAAACGTATTCAATTTTTTTCAACGATCATGAAGCAACACTGGATTTTCCTTCTTCGGTCGGTGATCGCTTTTATACAAATTGTTCCATGTTTATTGTTGGGTTTTTATCGGTTAGTGCCCGCCAAAGTAGATTAGACATCTCGTGCGGTCTCTATCAATGAACATCGGACATCAAGAAGATCTGCACAATGAAACTAGGCAACACCCGCTCAACGGCGCTGCACTTTCCTTTTGATCCTTCTCGCCGCGCCGATCCTCTCCCCATGGGAGAGGGCTGCTGCACAAATCTAACAGAGGCACCCAACGAGTTGGACCAAATCCCCGATCAGTTCTTGACTGAGGTCCGTTCTTGAGGGCTAGCTGATCTTCGTCATAGAGTTCCCGCTGATGTAAACAGACTAGGGTCTCTTGTATGAAGATTTAATTTTCGATGGAAAGATTCCGTTTGTTGAGTATGCATGTTAACGTATTTGCCGAAGATTTGCTATCTGCCTAGCTTAAAGGACATGCGCATAGCAGGATATTGTGCTGTGTTATGCCGTGTAATGACCATTGGATAATAATATGAACTTAAGGAAAGAACCTGACTCGACTACTGCCATATTTGAGGATGATCGAAACAACAAGCAGATTTATGAATACACGTGCAAGTTCGGTCATGAGTGTCCAGGACACCTTTTCCATCGGCTGTGCCAGCATATGGACAATCCTTTGGCTCGCATTTCTATCGGCGGGGTGCTGCGAAGCGCGTTATGTACGCCCAGAAGACTGCACATGGGAACCGGTAGCCGATGCTGCCGGCGTTTCGATCGCGTGCAGTGTACGAACTCTACAAGCCGGAATAAACCCTACAAACTTCTCGCTAATTATGCCAGCTCATACTGTTCAGCTAGCTGTCATTTGTGGTGATCAAATATTGCAGAGTGAGCTGGCGAACAGCCTTTTCGTGCACTTGTACGGATTGCGCGAACTTTCCATCGAGCACTGCAACCTTGCTCACTTGCCATCAAAAACCTTCGAAGGCTTATTAGACCTGAAGAGATTAAGTGTGAAAACATTCAACATTAAAAGGGGCCGTTTCTCCTTGCAAGTATCACCCACAGCTTTCAGTCCGCTTAAAGCGATCGAAATGATTGATTTGAGCGAGAACAGTATCGATTTACTACCTCACACGTTGTTTTGTGGTTTGGAACATTTACGTTTTGTGAACCTTTCGGGAAACGCGTTCCATGACAGTGCTAACTTAGGTTTATCCTCAAAATCGCGTTGTAGGCCAAATTTTCGCGGGCTAGATGTTACGCGTAGTAAACTAAAGGTTCTCTCAACGAGAGGCCTCGAGACGCTAGTAAGCCTTGAAGAACTGCGCATGGAACGCAATCAGATCGCCAGAATTGACTCTGATGCTTTCAGTGGACTCGCAAAACTCACACGACTTGACCTGTCGCATAACTCTTTTTCTACATTGCCTTCCAGACTTTTTCAATCTACGTCGAAGCTGGCCGAGCTCTACATGCGGAACAACTCTCTCAATGCATTGCCATCCGGCCTGTTAGCTGGACTCCGTGAGTTGACCCTACTCGATCTGGCACATAATCAACTTTCAGCGTTAGGATGGCTACAGAGTGCCCAAGACCTCGCGCAACTCGCCGTACTGGACCTCAGTTATAACCGACTTACACGTCTCAATGCTAACGTGTTTACTGCTCTGAGCGAGTTGCAAACTCTCCAACTGCAAAACAATCTCATAGAGCTCATTGCGGACGGTACGTTTATCCAACTTAACAATTTACAATCGCTGGTGTTGAGTCACAACCGATTGAAACGGATAGGTTCTCGTATGATTGGGGGACTAAACTCTGTAACGACACTACACTTGGACGATAACCGGATCAGTGAAGTCTCTGATGATACGTTCGCTAATATGACTATGCTTCAAGAGCTCAATTTAGCCAGAAATGAACTTATAGTTACACCGCTCATTGTGTCATCGCTCAATATGCTGCGAACGCTGGATTTATCGGACAACAAAATTAATGACGTGGTCAATTTTTCGTCTCAAGGTCTAGGCCAGCTTTATGCCTTAAATCTAATGGGCAATAGGATCGGCAACCTCAGTCGAGGTGTTTTTAGCAGGTTGCCTTCAGTTCGTATTCTCAACCTAGCCAACAACAGCATTCAGACAATCGAGCAGGAAACGTTTGACGATATGCCGGGCCTCCATTACCTCCGACTAGATTCAAACGTGATTGAGGACGTTAACGGATTATTCAGCAACCTGCATGACTTGATCATGCTCAATATCTCCGTAAATCGAATACGCTGGTTTGACTATGCGCTTGTGCCTGTGGGTCTTCAGTGGCTGGACATCCACGACAACCAGATTGAGGCTCTTGGCAATTACTTCGACCTTGAACAAAGCCTCAAACTTCGCACACTAGACGCCTCCTACAACAAACTGACCGACTTAGATTCGTCGTCTCTACCAAATGGAATTGAAATAGTCTTCCTAAAGAACAACAACATCAAACTAATTCAGCCATTCACCTTTCTCGGGAAACACAACCTGACCCGGGTCGATTTGACCAGCAACCAATTGAAGGTTCTAGAGAAACCGACATTCCGACTGAGTGAAGTATCAACACGTCGACCACTACCCGAATTTGCTATCGCAGGCAATCCATACGTGTGCGATTGTAACATGGAATGGCTACAACGTTTACATAACCCCACGGCACAAACTAGCTCCGATACTAACTCGCTCCGCCAATATCCACGGGTAATCGATCTGCATAGCGTCGAATGCGAGCTAACCTTCTCGAAAAGTTTCCAAAAAATGCCACTGGTCAAGGTGGACTCGTCACAATTTCTGTGCCCATACAAGAGTCACTGCTTCCCACTTTGTCACTGCTGTGATTTTGATGCCTGCGATTGCGAGATGGTCTGTCCCGCTAACTGTAGCTGCTACCAGCATCAGACGTGGAGAACCAACATCGTCGACTGCAGCTCACGCAGTCATCTTTACAACCCGAGACAGCTGCCTATGGAGGTGAGCGAATTGTATCTTGATGGCAACAATATACCTGAGATCAGCAAACATTCGTTCGTAGGCCGGAAAAATATGCGAGTTCTATTCCTCAACAGCTCGAACATCGTGACGGTACAGAATCGTAGTTTTGCAGGCTTGCACGAGCTGCGAGCACTTCATCTCGAGGACAATCGGATTTCTGAATTGCATGGTCATGAGTTCGATGATCTTGACCGACTCAGGGAATTATATCTTTCCAATAACCAGCTTAAGCATCTGAGCAATATAACATTTACCCGATTAAAAAATCTAGAGATACTCCATTTAGATCGAAACTATCTGGTCGAAATCTCCGTGTGGAGCTTTCAGTATAATACGCGTCTGACAGAGATTCGTCTGGCAAGAAACCCTTGGACCTGCGATTGCCAGTTTCGAATGGACTTCAGTCAGTTCCTGTTTAATGAACGCGGTAACATCGCGCGCGATCTTTTTGATCTCTTATGTGTCTACAATGAAACGAAAGCATTACCATTGTGGGAGCTGAACGTGACTGAATGCTTTAGCCCTTCAGAAGCGACGTCATTGGTCCGATCGTTCCACATTCATCGTGTCGAAGATCTGGTGCCTGCCCTCGTCGTTCTTGGCGCCGTCATCCTTCTATCAATGGCAGTTACGGCGGGAATCGTCTACCGTCGCAAGTTGAGCGTATGGTTTTTCAGCCGCTATGGAGTTCGAATGTGTCACCGTAACCCAATTGAAGAAGAAAAACTCTTCGATGCTTTCGTGTCGTATAGTAAAAAGGATGACGCCTTTGTGGCACAAATTCTAGCTCCAGCATTGGAGTGCGGCAGTCCGCCGTATCGGCTGTGTTTACACTATCGAGACCTGTCAATGGCTGGGGGCTACCTAAGCGAAGCTATCCAAGAGGCTGTCGAGAGTTCCCGGCGAACGATTGTTGTCCTTTCCGAGCACTTTCTTAAAAGCGAATGGTGCCGTTACGAGTTCAAGACAGCCCATTACGAAGTGCTGTACAACAGTAATCACAAACTTGTCGTTATTTTCCTCGGCCGTGTGTCCTATCGTGAACTAGATGCCGACATCAAAATGTGGTTGAAACGGAGTACGTTCTTACACTGGGGTGAGAAGAACTTCTGGGATAAATTGCGCTATTCTCTGCCTGATGCACGCCACCGTAAGGTTCAACGCTCGGACCTAAACTCAGTCACCGTCCATATCTGACAGTCACAGTTTCAATTTTGGTCTAGACAATTTGGCAATCCATAGGACACGTAATGATCTTTTATGCGCTCTTACGATCTCGGCATTTAGGCTCATGTTACCACTTTTTTAAACGAACAGGACTTCCCGAGGATCAGTTGTAGGGAAGGCGGTAGGAAAAAGTCCATAATAGGAAATATAGCGAGTAAATAATTCAAAATCATAGATTAAGTATCAATACTAACGCATTAAGGCCAACACTGTATTTCGAGCTGTTGACGATTGTTTGGTAAAGGACAAAAACGACGACGACGACGACGACGACGACGACGACGACGATGACGACGACGACGACGACGACGACGACGACGACGACGACGACGAGAGAGAGAGAGAGAGAGAGAGAGAGAGAAACTACGGTACGATTGCAACCCTCTGTCGACTTATGTCACCGTAAACTAAGTCCTAAAAGCTATCAATGAATATGAAACTAGGCCAGTAACGGGAAATCAATGAAAACAAGTCAAATGGTGCGAACACTATAGAGTGCGCAATGAGCCATTGAATGAACTATAACAACAGGTTATTTTTTTAGTTTACTTCCACGTCGGTTGGTATGTACACATTTGTAAATACGCAGACAACTAGAAATAATAGAAGGATGTGGTCGTTTATGTAAAAAGTTCTTCGAAGAAGTTATGTAAAAATGATAGTAATCAATTACGATAATACATGGTGATAATGATTAGTATGACATGCAAGAAGCAGCGTCCAACTGCGGAGATCTGTGATAGCCTATTGTTGTAAATAGCCTGAAATGTAACCTATCAGAATGATCCAGGATCATCGTTCTAGGCACGGTAGTGACCAACAATGAATGAAGGTGAATTATTTATTCGGAAACCCTGTATACAATATTTATTTGAAGAGATTTAGAAAAAGCTTCTGTGACTAAACGGACAATGTTGTAATGAATCATCATGAGCATGGCTGAAATAGTTTGTATGTCATTAAATTATAGAGGTTGCGATGCCTTCGTGTTGTTGCCGAATTATCTCCGCTACTGAATTTTGCTCCTCGTTTTCATTACTTCGGTTAATTCCATAAACAGGATCAAATCCATTGTGCGCCATCAATCGATGTTTGGACTACGCCAGGCAGTGTGCTATGTTAATGCTTGCAGAAGAGTTTGCTTTTCCCAGGCAAAAACAGACTTTACCTCACGGCGCGACTTTTTCCTTCAATGATTAACTCGTTTTTGGGATCCCGATCCGTATTAGTCAACAACGTTGGAGTGAACATTTACAAATAGGACAAGTTTGTCTGTGTTTAGAGTGAAAAAGAAGGAAGACATCGACGCTTGAATATACGGATATTCAACTCATAAGGCGTTAAATACATAATTTCTATATGAATTTTTACAAACTATGTCATTAAAATGAAATGTTTTTGTCGCAGCTAGAATGAAGGAATTGACAGGACGAAGAATAAAACAGGCCGAGAATAAGTTGTGACCTGAAAAAGAGTCTAAGTATTCTACTATTTATTAGTAATTTTGATATGTTCTTCTAACCAGGTAGGGGTATTTTACTGTTTAGAAATTAGTATTCGATTACCGTTGAGTTCTCTGAGTGGGAACTAGTTAAGAAATATTTTATCGTAATTTACATTTTCCGTCACCTGACAACCATTGCACATTATGCAAAGTAGGAAATTTCGGACAAAAATTTACACTAATTCCACCCAAAGTCGTTCAGATAATCATCTGATCCAGCCATGTTTTCGGAGGTACCTTTTGCTTGAAACTTACGTTTACAGCTACGCAAGGTCTATTTCTTTTTCATCCAAGAGTATCATTGAAATACATGATTTGCCCCTCACAACATATTCAATAACTATCTAAGGACACCTAGTGGACATGAGAGGAAAACATTGCTTCCCTAAATTTACAGATGTGGCTACACCCCTGCGATACCGGTAGGTCGGCACAATGTACCAATAAGTTTTAGTTTTCCGTGCAGTTGCAAAGGACAGTTGGCGATACGTGTTCGTTCAGTTTTTGACAAGGTAAGGCGACTCAACTTCCTAAGTAATTGTGACCTCCGACAAAAATTTGTCCCTTCCGTGCCGTCTGTGCATTTTGAGCGGTAAACCACCAATGAAACCGAAATGCTATTCAGCAACTAAGAAGATTGCGGAGAAAGCTTCGTCTCCCGGTTGGTGCGCTTATTCGCAAGACTCGATTGCTCCTTTACTAACCCGACCCAGTTGTGTGCATGTCAAATCAAATTATTAGGCTCAAGGTTACAGAGTGTGCTGATATGCAATGATAGAAGCATCTTTCCGCCCATATTTCACTCTGTTTGAGCGGTAAACTCCCCTGCGTTGCTACTTACCCATCATCTATGTGGGTCTAGTTTGTCGCCTCGCCTCATTTATAGAACCCATTTTGTAGATTTTAATAATGAGAGCGACTAATTTTATTCGATTTTTCGAACGTCTTTACATTCTCCTATGATACGTTGTTTGTATATTATATTCATTCGTCGTGCCATAGGCACTACTACGGAATGCGATATTGGCGCTAGGAGATTTCAGTCCTTACATGAAACTTGTTGAATAAATTTACAATTTACAAGTTGACTTTTCTGCTTGCGTTATTTTCTTTCTCCGCTCCTAAGCGGTAGAGTAATAGCTGAAGTGATCCGTCAGACGCTGCTGTTCGATGGTAATATGACTTCCCTTCGAGTAGCTCAGCCTTCGAGTTGTTCCGGCTGCCTTCCACTCTTTGATATGCGGGGGATTCGAGAAAACGTGGCAAGCAGCTGCCGACTGGAAGAAGAAGCAGCTCTGCAATTTCATGCGTGGCTACGTGACTCGATGCAACTTGTTCGATCTGGTTAAAGCAATGCCAGGACCAGACTGCGTAGCGAACATACGAAAGTGCCTTTCGAGTTAGGCTCACGGCGAAGTTGCCTTGAGCCCTCTCCTCGATCTTTCAAAACGTATGAGGTTGGTTTGCCGACTCTAGTGCACGTTTCCTATTTTAATACGTCTTTTTCCTTCATGCTCATGAATATTAGGCTGCTATGTAGGTTTGACAGAATTATTCCTTTATTGATAAGGTCGAAATTTCACCTAAATTCATACAACCTATGTGACCACATAGATTCATTCAAGTGCATTACAAATTGTCGGCTGCAGACTTGCTCATAAAGAATTTAATTTATAACTTCTAAGAATTTTTTTTTTGCTATTTGTGGAAAAGCGTTACTTGCCGTTCATGAAGCATTGCCTGAAGTAGAGCATGCATCAATGTAAGCGCAAGATATCAATGTGCATACCAGCATTACAAACTTCTTTTCGTATCAGAGTTACCAGACACCATTGGAGAAACAGCCTTATACTCAGACATGGCGGTGTTTTTGATGGCACTAACATGCTCAGCCTTTGTCAACGTATCTCTGATTCGTTCCAACATCATTAACGATAAATTTAGCTTTGTGACTCATCGCTGTAGCACACTAGACCTGTACTCTAAGGTGATTTATCTTTATTTTTCTAAGCTTATCTCACCGACCACAATGTTGAGTAGAACTGCTAAAGGCGAGTGTCAGCAAGAATTGTGCTTCGGGAAAAAAACATCGTGCTTGCAAACAACAGAGCATTTTGGCTCACCAAATATCACAAGCTCAAGTCCGGTCGGAATAATGAGGATTAAAGAAACATAAGCCTGCTGAAAAAATCTTTTTAGAACGAAATCGTTATTTTTTTTTTTGGCTTGCATCGTATAAATGGAATGGAATGGACGCTTCGGTCGGGCGTCATCTTTTGTATTTGAATCTTAAAACGTATTCAATATAAAAGGCCCCCAGGGATTGGTACTGGGTAATCGCGAGCGTGATACAATGTTTGCATTCAGTGATCAGAATAAAAACGAACTACAAAACAAATATTTCAATTGAGTATTATGTTCAAAGAGATTATGACATTTTGAATAAAATAACACCCGTACAGTTGATCCCTAAGACAGATTCTACAGGGCGTGTACAGCTGACGCGTGTGCGTGTTGGTGGCCTAATGCAATGATTAATATATTCTAGGTCTGAGCGAAATTTTGTGATCTCGGTACCGTAAGTATCGCCCCGCGTGGCTTGAGATGCCTTGCCGTTGTTCTCGCTGCTATTGCTGCCAATAATAAACATCACAGCATGACATCACATCTATTTCTCCAATCCGTTGCCTCAACCCCCTGGATTGCCTTATCCGTAAGATAATAACGGTCTACTTACAGCTCCAGCACACTACAAAAAAGCGTTGCTAGAGCTACACCTTGTACATAAAAGGCCTATCAGTAAAAGCGCCCTGCAACAAGGCTCGTTACCTTTATTTGCGGTTTTTTTTCTTATTATTGTCAACAACAGCAGTTGAAGAGCCGTAACAGAACGCATCAACCTAAGCCACTTAGCGAAGTAGCACCAAACGACTTGAAATGGTTTGTATCGTTTGTTACACGTGTACGATCTTTGTGGCTTGGCAAATTTCTGTAGATAATTCCCCCTGTAGTATTCTCGAATCGATGAGTTTTCGATTTGTGTGCTTTGTTGTGCCTTGAGATAGTTTTTATTATATCCTTCTAATATGTACGTACGTATATATATCTGAGTTTCGATTCGCTCATTTGCGCGAACCTTCAAGGCTTCTTGTCTAATTGTGTCTCTGCGCGCAGTTATCGTAAACACTGCAGAGGGGTGGGTCAAGATCAAATGGGTGACCAGCTTATATCTGTAGAAAGATAGTTACGTAGATCTGAACAGGCGATGTTTTAATGAAAAACAAAAACTAATGGAGCTTTGGATAGAGTTATGCATGAATCTGACGCATCGACGCCATCCTCTGCGCTGGTAATTATTTCAATTATACGCAGAGTAACACCTGCTGAAAGAGCATGGTCTGTAACGCATCTGCTAATGGGGCCATTGCAAACTTCTACAGCCTGCTTTGTGTATTTATTATAAAATCAAAATATGTCACAGCATAAACCGTACTGGCATCAAACACAACGCTTAGCGCACAGTCGTGATTATCTGGGTCTTAATTATTCCCCGTCCTCTACATTCATATCGACAATAAGTCATAAAAGAAAATATCAGAAAAACCTGAAAAATAAGGATATAAATTCGCCCTCTCTATCTCTATGATCCTTTTAATAGTGGCCTTCTATTGGTGCGAAGATATTAAATAGACACTAAATACAGGTAACTGCGGACATGGAGACATATTTGATGGGTCTATTTACTATTACATTGGTGTATGCAGAAAAACATTAATGAAGAGCTATAGCCTTCACAATAGTGGTTCCTCGGCCTTGCCATGTGGTTCAGTCAGGGCGAAAAGAATGCAGACGTTATGAACGTTTCAACAAGTCACTCAGGCGCAGGTTACACTTTTTTCGATGTATTCCTTCTCAACTTCAATTCTTCAACCATTGCCCAATATCATCTTGCCTACTACTATATACATGTATATTGATTGCTGGAAACAAACAAGAACAAAAACAGCGTTATTTTCAATTTCTTTGTAGACAATAGAAGACTTTTCTCTCTATAATTCCGTTCAGCGAAGGGATATTGCATGCCAGTAGTATATAATACGGTGATTCTCATTTTTCTTAAAGGAACTTGATTGTCATTCCGGGTGCATCTTTGCAGATTTCTGTTACGCTTAGCGTGGGCATCTTATTAAAATTAATCTGTCAAAAAGAGGAAAAGATACTTATCAAACTAAAATTAAGTGGCCGACAGCCTGATAATGTTGTTGGAAAAGAACCATAATAGTAAAGGTCGTAGTACCTATGTATATTAGCGTTAGTGCACTAAATGCAAGAAGAATAGAAAAAGCGCATTTATTTTGAGTAACTCTAATTTGAAGAATAGTTTGCCTCATCCTGGTGTCGCGGACCTGCATAAGTAATTGATTTTGCTTTGTTCGAGGATGGTTAAACACACGGGACTTCTCTGAGGATTCCGACGCTTTAACAGCATCGTCTGGATTGTTGATGAATGATTCAGCAATAGCTGGGCCTTAGTCCACAACAGCAGCATTCGACGTGACCCAAAATTTTACTCGTCCCTAGCATTAGAACATACTTTTCTAACATCTTTCGTTACATCCGAGAAATCAGAAACAATATGATCCTATATTATTTGCCCTTCTCGAGATGTCTCTTTCGAACTGGTCGTCCCCTTTCGAAATTGTAAATTCCTATCGCACTTCTTATGTTTTACCGTGTGATAGTTTTGGGGCTTGGCTATACGCGTAAATGTAAAAATCATCTTCAAGTCCTACAGAATGAGGCCTTGCGTGCCGTTTTCGTAGCCTTTCTATCTCTGTACACTACCTTCGTCATGCTCTTTTTGATATCTCTCAGCTCTATAGACTGTGCCTTGGTCTGTCAACCAATAAATCAATCAGAAGCTCCTTTGGCAACAACCATCACGATGGGTTCTATTGCCTTGGCCCGGACCCTACCTGTGGACATCGTTCACCGTTTTCACATCCGATATTCGTTGAAAATTACTGCATCAGGGGATAAAAAATCAATTTCCCATTGGGCGAAACTCTCCATCTCTCTCATCGCCAAAAAAATCTCCTCGTTTCAAATTATCATTATTCAAGATTAAAATGTTTGTATTAACCTTTTCTCACAAATTTCGAGATAGCTGCAGATAAAGCTAGTCCACTGTCATCCTTTTTATTGAGCACTGCTTACCGATTACTAGCATGGTTTTGCCGACCTGCTGTGCCATAGTCTATGTGTATTTTTCGAAAATAAAGAAAATTACAAAAATGACAACATAGAACACGTTTGCATCACCGGATGTGACCTACAAACGTGAAGATGTCGTTAGACCTATCCTAACTTATCTTGGAAAGAGCATTTCGTCTTATGTGCTATCTTGATTTTTACCTAGATGCCGTCTGCACCTGCCTAGCTCTTCGGAGTCGGTTAGCGATTGCGTACTTTTTGCGTGCCGCTGGCCATACCATGGGCTCGAGGTCGTATGCATGCTCAGATGGAGATGCATGATTCTGATTCCCACATCAGACTTCAACCAAACACTACATTACCCAAAGAATTTGTACGCGTATACGTCTACCGAATGGTTTATCTCTTTCCAGCATTGTTGCTGTTGGCGCTCGCTGTTTCAATCACACAAAGCCACTACGCTACTTTGATTCGATGTTACGATGATTTTTCCCGGTAGGCGAAGCACCGACTAGAAACGATGGCTATAAATGCGTTGCAAAACGTGAGGTGCATCAGTAGCGAGATGAAATGGGGCCTGTTAGTAGCAGCGAAATACAAGTATAACAAGGAAGTCAAGCCTGCGATTCAAACAACGACGACAACAGACAAAAGAGGTGTGAAGAAGAACGCCTAGTTCGATAGCCGGCTAGCGTCTGTTCACCATTCAAGGCACAAATCATAATAGATGAATTCGCCAACCCGAAAGTCAGCTTTTTCGTGCAGACTCCTACAGATACATTACACAGGCCGCACACATCAATGGAAGAGAACGACTGATACACTCGATGAGCTGTCAACGGAATGGCCTAAACAAAAGAGCGTAAAGGATGAACGCCGAGGATAAGTTGGCTAGGGATTGGAACGTGTGACAGACGCCTGTAGAAAAGTTGCCGTTTCGCCCGTTCATCGTCATTGCGCCTATCGTCGAGAGTCAAAATAATAACAATTGTAGTTCACAACAATGATCGCTCACCGCACTAAGCGGTGTCACCACATGTTACAACGGAGACGTAGTGAGATACGAGCGAATCACCACGAAAAACCGGCGACGCTGGGGCACGATGACCAATGCCACGGATATGCTAGGCAAGCATGGAGTCGTTTACTGGGGTATCGGTGGTCAGTGTTTGTGTTGATTATCGTGATGTTCGCGCTGGCGATGGCTAGCCAACCGGCCAGAATTTGCTGATTAAATCTCAGGTGAAACCGCCTTTGCTGAAGAGAGTTTAATCGATCGGCCAGGAAAGCAGTCGCCGTGTTTCCACGAAGATTAATCCTGACTACCGTAGTCGACATTGCTGGGAAGCTGAAAAATGGGCCTCGATGAGAAATAAAGGGAAGAATGGTGATTTTTACAGTGCGATATATAGATATATTGTGCGCAGTGAAACAGCGAAGAGACGTACCATAAAATATCGGGTGGCACCTTCTGTTGAGGGTAGCTTCAGTCTGTGCCGTGATTTCGAAGCAAGATAACGGAATGGAGCAAACAAAAAGATGAATAACTCGCAAAAGAAGGTTGAGCCGCTGAGCGGTTCGACTCGAGTCTTGAAAAGGTGCTGTACCGTTTGACGTGGAGCTGGAAAATGGCGGGGTACAAGACGAGAAAGAAAAAGTTCATTGGCGTATGGCTAGGCGAGATCATAATGCAATGAGCCTGTAAACCGGTAATATTTACCAAAACTATCCCTGACAGAATGTATTTACCTGCAGAAAGTTGAACTTTTCTGTTTTGAAGGGATTCGAATAGTTACATATGGAGGCTTTTCGGTGATGTGGGCGTCTTTCCTAATTGACTAAATAAGAATAGAGAACTTTTTGAAGAAATAGGCCTATTTATTGATGTTTTGTTGAAGCACTTTTCCAATAGATCTTCTAATTATGCCTAAATTACATAGTTTCAGCCTATGCGCAGATTAGACAAGTCTCCAACTCAGTTATTTGTCCTGATGTTGTACCTACTTTGTTCCGATTGTCTAGGTAGTAAAGCGTGCTTTAACTTGGTAATCCTTGGTGCGGATATTGTTATTTTCTAATCGTTATTATTAATGGTCATCTTGGAATAACTAATCAGCTTTTAAACAAATTAAGAATATAGACTTCGCGATCGGTCGGTAGAAGCAGATAAAAAACTAGATCCACGGAACAATCTAGTCGACGATCGATTCGGGCATACCGACACGTTCAGTGGATTCTGCTATTGATGAAGATTCTCCAAAAATCACTTAAAAAAAGAAAAATATTTAATCTTTCTTCGCAGAGATCAATTTAACTTAGCTCGAAGCTGTCAATAGCTAAATAGCTAGCTTCTTTTCAAAAGTACAAAATTAACATTGTACTTGACATTTTACGCGACGCCATCATTGCCGAATCAACCTGTGCGGCAGCTATTACACATAAGAGCTGCAGAACAAACAGCTTTTTTGCAATCGCCGAAAGTTCCTTCGTACTGTAAACTGGACTTGCCCCTATTGGTCTGCATGGAGATCTGAATCTCGTCCGCTCACAAGACAAAGGACGCGATGTGTAGGGCATGGAAGCAGACGATTTCTTTTCTTTGGTAAGCTAGCCGTTCCAGGCTTGCAGTGACGGAGCAGGCCACCTCCCCTAAACGTGGAAGCTTATCCACTTTTGTGCCGGCTCATTTTGACTGCTTCGCTTCACTGCTTCAGTGCACCGACGACGGCGTTGCTGTTGCCGCAGCCGTCGAAGTTTCCGAAACCAGCGCTACCGCCGAATCTGCTTCGGTTAGCTACTGAGAAGAAGTCTGTTCTCTTCAAGCCAGCCACTGCTGGTCCCTAGTAGTCCATCCTCCTTCTCGTTGCACTCCTAGTTCTTCTTGCGTTGACGGCGATTCTGCTTACGCGACCCCTATCTCCTTCCGGGTTCGCGCATGGCTGGCCATGTAGCCGACTAGTTGCATTGAAGGAACGAAGAGAAAACACAGAGATTGTGGCGTGATCAAAGAAATTGGCTCCGCTTAAGTCTGGCGAGAACTCAGCCAAGCTACGTGACTACGCTGAACTTGTGTGTCTTGATTCATACGACAGAAACACGTATGGCGAAATGAGGCTTGTTCTTGGTTGGTCTTCGAACGGATGGCGACATAGCGATTGAGGATCTACTCTGCTTTGCAAAGCGGCGAACAGATAGAAACCTGCCAGAGGCCCCTACCTCATTCATTCCTATCTACTAGTAGCACTGACACTCCGTCTTAACTCTTTAGGAAAAGTCAATACAGTGTGGCCGGCGCTGCGTTGTCAAACTGCAGGAGCGACCTCGTTCCTGAGCTCTTGTTGTCAAAACCTCTCACAAGCCGCCTGAGAGGATGATCTGGCGGGTCTTTAACTCTTTGGCCGGTGCATAGCCCTGCTCCGACGGAGAGAAACAGGGGGAAGGGATCGACGAGCGAAACGTCAGCAGAGTCTAACCTGCCCTTCACCTTTCTTCCCGGTGAGTTGCTCATGCATTCACGCTTCATGGCTTTCCCCACTTCGATGGGAAGTGTTTCCTTGCAGGCGGCTAAAAGAAGAAGACTTTGTGTGCGCGCATGAAGTCTGGCGACAGGCCTGCGTATGAAACATTGGTTGTGTACGAGGTCGTTTGATACGCTATCATATTTTCAATTCGAATAGAATGGCCTGATCGACGCTGTCTAACGCAACAACTGCACTCCGATTGCCTTCGTCAGGCTGAACGTACCATGACCCTTCTCGTCATCGAGATAGGCCAACATCGATTTCCATTTTCTTGCGCTGTTCGCAAATGAAATTGTTCATCTTGTGTGTGCTACTCTGGTTTCTTGAGGTGTCTGTTTGGAACTTGAATTCTTAGTGGCTGTTGTACCCTACAGCTTCTCTCTGTGCGCACAGGTACGTCATAAAAAAACATTTTCTTATGCATTTTTCACTTGAGTAACACTTCTTATAAAATCGAATCCAATGTAGCTAAAGCGCAATCGTACGTCGTAGATTATTACTATCGCCTTCTTTTCAAAATCGACTTTGAAACAAATTCTTCTAATATAAGTGATGCTTTAGGCTACTAATCGTTGTCCCCTTAGCTACAATAAAGATGTCGCGGCGTTTTTATCCCAGCCACAAACCAAAATAACGTCGCACTTATTGAATAGCTCCATTAGAACAACTTTATAATACGTACAAGTTTGATTTGTTTTGTTTTCACTCAAGTGAATTACCTTCATTTCATCGTTACCATTTATGCTGTTTTTTCTATTTCTACGCTCTTTGCTTACCAACCTATATATTCTAATACATGTAGAAAGAATTGAACTTATTTCAATTTGGGTCATTATGTCCTTGACTAAATAGAGATTGTCTGGTTACGTCACACGATAACGACTGGCCTTCAGTCTGCCCACAGGGTTTCCCAATAATACCGCTAGCTGTACCCGCCAGTCTGAAACGTCCTGCTGCTCTTTTTACCGTGGCGATCACTGCTGCTGCTGATATTGCCGGCATTTGTCAAGTGCGTCGTCCCCAATATTCATACGGCGGAGAGAGAAAGATGGAGGAGCGAAGGGGAGGTAAGAACAACTCGTTGTTTTGTGTGGCTTGCGCTTGTTAATGTCCGTTTCGTGTTGACTTCGTAAAAAGGTAGCCTACTCATGTTCTGCTTAGTACTAGAAAAGTCAGCGTCCTATATTTGCTTGACTCTAAGTTTCGTAAGTATCGTCGTTGCAATAATTCTCTATCGTAGAGGCAAGAGGTGGATATACTTTGAGCGCAAATAGATTGGTAACCGAACTATTGTGAGCAATTTACACCAGCTAACGTTAAGAGCTCACGCAAGGACGACTGTACATAGGATAGCCATCGTCTGCGTGTCGCAGAACAGAAACTAGTTTCAAAACAAGCATTATCTTCCATCGTAAAATTGCTTTTTTTCTATAATTGTATTTCTCAAGGATGTATGAACTGAGACAGCAAAGATCCCTTCTATTTTGTGCAACTTTTGTAAGGAACGATTGTGTGTGTTCGCAGGATAGGTGTATGCGATGTGATACATGCGAATTTCTAAAAGTTTAACTTATCCTGTCATACATTCAGATCATTACCTGATAAAGGAAAGCCCGTGGTTGTATTTAGAGAAATATCGCTCGAATCCTATATTTGGTTAATCTGATTGTAGGAACTATCGACACTCACATGTATTTCATTGATTAAGCATCCCTAATTCGTTTGAAGTCAAATGGGTTTATCTGTACACACAGCAGTGAGCTTAGCATGGTATATGCCCATCCGCGGATTGAGAAAGAAGTGATTTGGCCCAAAAGTATTCGAATATTGTTCAGGCAGCAACTAGGTCCAGCTAGAGTAATTGACCCTTCTATGGAGATATGATGAGTCTGATAATAATTGCAATCTCTTGTACAGCAAGGCCAATAGGCGTAGGTTAGGCGTTTGCCGACACAAACATCACAGTTGTGCTGCTAGTACTGCCATTGTTAAAGCGATAGGTGACGTACGTCCAGAGCGTAAGGATAGTTTCTGCGTGCAGTAAAGGTCTGCGTCGCCCTCTCTATTAACTATCCTCACACATTCATAACAATCACGCACTACAGCGCAGGCCGTAAAGCTAAATGAAAATAGAGCTGGTTCCGTAAATGAATCTGAGGCTAGGAACTAATATATGCTAGTGATTTTGCACAATTCAGTATGAGTTGACTACATTTAACAGGTGGATAGCATGGGTGTAAGGCTGATCAGGGCAGGACCGATCTGAAAAGAGTGTCTAGCATTTACTCAGATTGTAAGCAACTATTTTAAAAAAATAGTCGTGTTTTCTTTTGTTTCGTGCGGTCTTCTGCTGTATTTTGACTAATGTCGATTTCGTCCGAACTGTGTACACTTGCTGAGTGAATTCAGAAACCAAATCTCATTTTTACTTTCATTAGAGGTAGTCAAATACAATTGATTGAGAAATGCCGAATGAGGATACGAAGATATATCGTATAAGCGAGAATATGTTTTACGAGACTTCTGGAAGGTTCTTTTGTCATATCAAAGCCTTAAATTTGGATAAATATTCTGTCACAACGCCAAGAGGATAGGATGAGGAAAAGCGGCGAAACGTTATATTGTCATTGGTCAAAAATTGAACAAAAATCAATTTATACAACCTACCTGAAAGATAATTGCTTACTAAAGACATATTAAGTTGTCCCAAGTGTGAACACCGTATAGGACCAAAGAACTACACATTCTGCACCCGCACCATCCTGATTCACATTGCTCACACCGACATTTAACCATAAATGAACGGTAGACTCATGCTGCTAAGGTCGGACCTTAACATGCCACGTAGGTTAGTAGCACCGACCACTGCGCCGCCCCTCACCCACATCGACGCTCGCGCAGAATGCAACCCACATTAGGCGGCTGAAACTTCAAAGCATCTATTCAAAATACACGCAGAACTCCTAGATATAATGGACTCATGCTTCAATGTAGCACACGAAGTTGTAATCTACGAAAGAGTGTGGCGAATAGGAATGTGGCGCTAGGCCTGAAGATGGCAGGTGCGCATAGCGAACACAGTCGTGTGGCCGTTCGTTGAGAGGAACATGCAAGAAGTAACCACTGTCACTGCCTCGAAAGTGACAGTTACACCGTTTTGATTACAAGTTACGAAAGTGGCCGAAAGGGATCGCAGCTAAACTTATCCACTTCAGTCTTATCCTTCTAAGTTGTCACAATAGCGAACTGCATTTTGCCATAGATTCATCATCTTATATGGTAGATACGAAGTTACCCTTTGGTCACATCCGACAACCGTCGTTAGAAGGGCCCCCAGTTGAGGTATGATTAACTAGACCGAAGTAGAGTTCCGACCACACGTGACGCGTAGTAAAATTTGATTTGCCTAGGATTATCTAATACAATTAATATAACTAAAATAGCATGCAGGTGGAAAAACAAAGCTCGTTTTTGTAAAATTTCAACAAAATAGCTTAGTTCTTACGTAGATATATTGTAAAACCAATTCATTTATATGCTTCTGTTCCTTTAAGTTGAAAGGGATTCTAGAGTTTAAATGGAACCTTTCTATTCTAATGCTCTCATTGAAGTTAATTGTCCAATGACAATTAGGACGATTTAACAACTTTGCGTTGTTTGTAAACCTTCTTTCATCTGTGTCGGTTTATAGCATAATGTAACTAGTTATTCGGTCGTCTTGACTAAGTAGACTTTATATCCGCGATATTTTGCTAACTATTGGTAAGTTGCCATATGCCTGACTTGTGTAAAAAGGTGATCTACGTCTACACTGCTATGTTTGCCCATAACTCTTGCTATATGTATCAAATACCGTATCTGTGTCTAACTACATAATTCCTACATGCTACTCTTGTATCCATTAAGGCGCCCGTAACAACGATTCCGAGATACAAGTGACAATATGTCTGCTCTCCAGCCTATAGTGATGTGCTTACGTTCCTACATATCGCCGTATTATAATTTTGAGCCCTACGTAAAGTATGTTTGCTTAATAGGAACTTGTCAGAGTTTCACATTTGGCTAGCCTGCTTCTAATTACTATGGATTAGTTACGTTCAGTTTGGGATGCCGAGAATCCAGTCATTTATGGGGCTTACATTCTCCTCGCTACGGTGTTGGAATATCGGGGAATCTCGCTGTCCATTATATATCAGAAGCTAACAAATGAGCACTTTTTTATACCTGTATATAACGGTGCCAAGTGTTTACACAAGGAGATCATTTTGCATCCTTGGACAATTATCCCTTCAGATGTATCTATAACCAATCTCGATGGAACTATTCGATGGATCAGTAACAATATATACATATACACTGGCGAATATATCGGGAATATTTCGAGACAGGATCTATATCAGCATCATCAAAGTTATTATTCTTTAAAAAAAAATGTGCGTGCAATTACGGTACAATATGGAGCGAAGGCATTGCTGGCTTCTTCCGTCACTGGCGTTTCGATTAGACTGGATCTCCTCGAGAACAATAGAATTGTCTTCACCCGCGTTTTGGTGAGGTTGTCGATTTCGTAACCGGAAGAAGCATTGATCTCTGTTAACTAATGTCCTGATTTGTAGAAGGTGGTCAGCCCTGTAGCACTAAGAGTATTAAACTTAAATATTATACCGGTCCCTTTGCCGCGTCGTCTTCGAAAGATGAAGTCATATTGTCTGGCGCGTGATAGCAAATTGATTCAATAATTAATCTGAAATTAGCATTGCAAGCCTATTAGAGACTATGGTCTGGAACATATAGCTTCGATTTGTAGAAAAACAAGATACGATATAGAAATCTAGATTCGAAAAGCATATACAATAGTATGTATTCATATCAGAGGTATCCAGATGCGCAGTCCAGATCAGTATCTCATAGACAACTGCCAAGAAGCATTTAGTCAAAAAACCCATTTGATTTTTTAAATATATAACTAGCAATGGGTTAATTAGCACAATTAAATAGCACCAGAGAACTAACAATCAGTGGGTGCCACCGTAGTACCATCGTAGTGTCCGTAGGCCGCCGTCGTGAAAGAACTTCAATTGAAGTGAGGGATTTACGTTGGCGTAATAATGACTAACGTCAAAGCAACAATGCACACCAGATATATTATTATCGCATCATTACAATTGTGCTTTATAAGAATGCGTATTTACAGAAGGGGGTCGAGAATGTTTCTTGGAGAGCTGTACAAATTGCCTCCGAACGGCCCTCAGGATTACAGATCGGTTACCTATTAAGAAAGATTCATAACGTACCTCTTACTAGGTTTCTCCGTCTAATACTTTTACTAGGTTCGTTATCTTAAATTTAACATAACTGGGTTCTTCAAGCCATTAGCGTTTGTAACTCGTAACGGGTTAAGGGAATTCGAAAGGCAAGGGTGTGCTCTCATGTAAAGATGTAAACGTTCTTGCCCGGTTAACTGCAAATATGTCGATTACCTGACCCGTGTCAAGTCGACGACAGGACGATCGTAGGACTGACCAGATAGCCAAACAAGTTTCCCTTCCAACTGCACACGTACTACTGTCTGTCGATCTGTTGTCTAATGTTATGTGATCGTAAACAAGCTTGACGATATTGAAAGAAGTATTAGAAGCTTGTGTTTAATTTTAAGCGTCTGGAGTTTTTACTCAAGCGGTTACTTTACCAGTTACTCGCTTACGTCGTGCTATAACCTGACGCTTCCTAATTTTAGGGAACTCTAGCGTAACGTAAGTCCTAGCTCCTCTGCGGGTATTCATTAAAACATGTTTTACTACTTGACTGATCAGCTGTTTGAAAAGTGTCAGTAATCTTATTGTAGTCGCCGTACTCCATTATCCTAAGTACTGAATCTCTCTGATGAAGGTGACGGAATTAAGTTCTTGGCCTACGGCATAAACTGCAGGCATTTTAAATCTCCGAAAGTTTATACTGGTCCTGCCCGATCGTAAATAACATTACCCAATAATATTTGTTTTAAACAAATGTCTGAAACTGCTTTACGATTCCTACGATGACAAATTCAATATGTATGGGTCAGTTTCGATGGGTCGGTTATATGGGGTGACTGGGACTAGTCTGACACAGATTTCTGTATATGTGATCTGAAAGCGTTGTGCGGCTAGATCGGTTCTCCTCTCCATTGAAATGGAACATTTATCGCTGAAGCTGTGTTCAAGGACACAATTATGCAAAATGAAAAGATGAGTATTTCCCGGGAGCTTGAGACACAAGTTCATTCGTGACGGAACTCAGTGTCGGTCATGCTCGTCACCTAATTTAGTTGCATTTCGGTTTGTCGTACGCGCCACGCTAATTACTCCGCCTTCTTGTTCTTCTCGTGACGAAAGCCGTAGGCAACCATAGGGCTTGGAAGCGTATGGAAATGAGTTGTCCGATAAATCATGTGGCGTTTCGGGATATGTACTAACAGAACCCGAATTCCTACAATTTATAGAACATTTAGTTTCAAATTTGATCGCATTTTATCTGGGTCGCATAATTACATTGGTCATTTTGATAAAATGGGGCGTAGTATTGAGTTTAAATGGATGCGACTCTCGTCACCAGCCATTATCCTAATGCTGATTAACTTTATATGATTTTATAGTTGTGGTCGATGTTAGAAGAACGGTCGTGACAAGACTAGCAGGTAAAGTAAACAGAACACTCCGAGATCGAATGTATGTATATTTAACTTCTAATTGCAGGTCTACAGCATTGCCCTTGACATATCACCTTTTTAGAACGTCACCTTGATAGTCCCTTCTGCCGTGTCGACTGTGAAGCTACGATCGCCGACTTCAGGCTTGCATGAAAATTCTTGTTTATCTAAATATGCTAATGTTTTCTTAATTATGCCGTATCTCTTACACTGTATTCGTATTGAAACGCCGTTCTCTCTATGAATCAGTGATGACGAGTGGGCGAACATCCTGTGGATGGGTCGACAAGCACAAATGTCGAAAGGCCCTTGTGGCTCTTTTTAATGTATTCTATGTTCCATTCATTCATGAAAATTACCGTCGAATTAGCCTTGCCTTTTTGTAGCACACTTAGTTACAGGGATGACAATGTGCCGTTAGTGACTGACAAATATTAACTTTTAAAAATAAACCATCAAAAGGAACCAAGTGATTTCTTCGACTTGAAGAAACTTAAGTACACAACATTTCTTTTGTGGAAAGGTCGCTCTAATCCGCCGTGTGATAAGTTCGTATTGAGACCCTAGTCATGCCAACATATGAGGACCTGAACTTACTAACGGAGGCTGTCAGCAGCATATAGCTATGTAGAGTGGGTTATCACCTAAAAAGCTCTATCAAGACGACGTGCGTATGCTTTAGGATCATTTGAAAGTATTTTTCTAGCCGGCACCGAAATACGTGATTGTTTGTCCAGACTCGTCCTCAAGAAGAAACATAGGCAATATAGGCACAATTAATTCTCAGAATTCAATTGAACATATACCTGATTCATATCTAAGACTGCCCCTGTAGAGATCCAAAGGAAGACAACAGGTTCAGAAGAGCAGCTTTTTCCGATGGCTATCTAACAAGTTTTTTTCTCTTTTTATTCGTTATCCAGACAAAACCGATTAAGATGTCTACATTTGCGTCATAACTTGATACACGCCTACGTCTAGCCACTGCGTTGTCTGGCACTAGAAAACGCTATGGCTTGTCGCACAGTATATTAAACATACGCTCTACGGCAATAAGTGACA